AAGGCTGAATCCTAAAGAAAAGTTAGTTAAGGCAATTGGTTTTTAGTGCAGGACTGAAGTTTCACAAAGGAGTAATTCAGAGGCACAGTGGAAAAGCTTAGCAGGAGATTCTTGTTCTGTAGTTCCATCAAGTTCAACTCAAGACAGAAAGTTATTTCCCTGGTCTTTTAAGATTTCCCCATGATAGAAGGGGTGAGTAACATTTTGAATAAAGCTGCTGCTATATTACAACCACTTTATTTTCTTCCTAGAAAAGAAATATTCTAATTTTGTTTTAGGCTATAGTAATTGGAAAGAAACCTTATTTTTAAAACAGTCTCTTTTAAAACAATAGAACCACTACCTTAAAGGCACTTCAATTTCTATAAACAATTTAATCTACAACCTAATTGCTTACTAATCCTGAAAACAATTCCTTAATCTCTTTGGCAGCTTCTTAAACTGGAAATATTTCTAGCTTTTCCTTTCTCCAATTTGATATTACCTTTGTGACTCTAAATTTATAATGGTAACTGTCTTATAACCTTGCTTTTTCTTAACCCCACATCTTAAGTAATTCAGGCACTTTAAAAGACTCCTATCATTCTACTCAGCCTATTCTTTTGTCATATCTTAGCCTATAATATGGTTTAAATAGCACAGCTTTAGCAAACTTTAATAATATTAGCAAATTTATAATATTTTATTATCTATTATAATAAACTAAAGAAAAGCCACTTCAGGTGGGGCACTGTGGCTCACACCTATAACCCCAGCACTTTGGGACGTCAAGGCAGGTGGATCACCTGAGGGCAAGAGAACAAGACCATCCTGGCTGACATGGTGAAACCCCATATCTACTAAAAATACAAAAATTAGCTGGGAGTGGTAGCATGCACCTGTAGTCCCAGCTACCCGGGAAGCAGAAGCAGGAGAACCGCTTGAACCTGAGAGGCAGAGGTTGCAGTGAGCCGAGATCTATTTAATTCAAAAATTTAAAGAATCTTAAGTTGTATTGTAATTCAGTATTTTTAATTTACATGTCACATATAATATATGAGCTAAAAATGGTCAAATAACATAACCTATACAAAGGGTAAACATTTTGATAAAATATTTCTAAGACAGAGTATCCTATTTACAGAGAAGAACCATTATAGCAAATAAAAACTAAATAGGCAATGTAGAACTCTATCATGTACACAAATGAACAGTTAAATTTTAGTTAACAATTTAAGTTATATGTGATCCAAGGTAATATTAACTTGTATTAAATAATTAAAGGAAAAAATCAAGGCTGTAAAGATTTAGAAGAAAACGGAGGCTACAGTTCACACACATCAAGTAAGACTTTTTTTTTTGGGACAGAGTTTTGCTCTGTTGCCCAAGCTGGAGTGCAGTGGTGTGATCTCAGCTCACTGCAATCTCCCACCTTTCGGGTTCAAGCTCAAGTGATTCTCCTGCTTCACCCTCCCAAGTAGCTGGGACTACACGCATGTGCTACCACGCCCATCTAATTTTTTTGTTTTTGTTTTATATTTTTAGTAGAGATAGGGTTTCACTGTGTTAGCCAGGATGGTTTCGATCTCCTGACCTTGTGATCCACTTGCCTTGGGCTCCCAAAGAGTTGAGATTATAGGCATGAGCTATCACGCTCGGCCAAGACTTTTTCAGAATCTGTGCTTGACAATGATCATCCCTTCCCCAAGTGTGTGAGAGAAAGGTCGTACTTTCATTTTCTTAGGTGACAACACCAACCCCGGGTGTATCTTTCAAATTCTTTCTTTTCTCAGTCATCCATTTAAGCATGAATGCCAATTATGCAAAGCAGTGCTTTCCAACCCTTTTCTCCTCAGACACCTATAGAAAAATAACTTAAGGCAACCAGTCTGGAGGCTCCAGACACTCAGGGCACACAAGTTGGAAAGCTCCAATTTAAGAGTATCAAAGGATAATCCAGGAAATAAACTCCACCTTTTGCAGGCATCATAAAGATGCTTTATAGGCAAGCATAATAGGATCACTGAATAAGCGAATGAAAGAATAAATACAGACCCAATTACACAAAATGTTATCTACTTGAACAAGTCCCAGGCAGCCTGCTCTTTATTTGTGCCCCGTCTTAAAAAAAAAGAAAGTATATAACCTTTTAGGAATTGTAACAAGGCTTAATTTTAGTACGGGTAATTGTAAATCAAAGGCTAGAAAACTCTTCTGTTAAAGTGGTTCTCTCCTAACTGATAAGGGCCATCTTCTTCACTACTGTTACCAGTATTCCAACTTATCGGCACTCATTAAAATATTGTACTTGTTAGCCAGGAGAGTGGTCATATACTCCTCTTCTTATTTATTCTTTCTTCAAGGGCATGAATTTACACATGGGATATGAGGGACAAGAATCTCACTTCTAGAATTCACCTAAGGTAGAGGATTCTAACATGTGATCCACAGGCAAAATGATTCAGAAGAGTTTTCAGCAACTATCTTTCAGATAACCATTACCTGAAAACTACTACTAAAGTGCACTGCTTATTCACTGAGAAAGCTTTTAAAGGAAAGCTACCATTAACCTGTGAGATACCCTGTAGACTTACAGACTCGGTAATCACAGTACTTCTTTAAAATAAAAATCAAGAAACTAGAACTCAGAAAAAATGGGTTAAAATAAAACCAATCAATAAAAAATACCTATAGAAATGAACATTAGTGATCTCAAAAATGCAGTGATAATGAAACCTAATGTACATATATGTCAATTCTATTACTGGACTTTTCAGAAGTAGTCATGAACAGAGTATATTACCCAGCAGAGGGTACAAATTAACCTTCGTTCAATATCACTGTCTCATTTGTCTTTAGATTTCAAAAGACTTTGTTATTTTCAATTTACAGCCATGAGTTATTGCATCTACCTTTGATCACACAAGTCCCCATAACCTAGAAAGCTATACTATAGCTAATCCCTCTAAGAAATATGGCAACTTTCTGACTAAAAGCAATCTTTCCTTTATGCCTACACTGAGAGATGTTTCTTATCCATGTTTCACAAGTAACAAGCTTCCTCAAAGAAAAATGGTTACGTGAAACAACAGGTGTTCTGATTCCTGGTCATTATTTCTAGCAAAATAATCCATTTCCTTTTTAGTCTATCAATATTCTATAACCCAGGACTTGGGTAAGTGCTCTTGATTTTTAAGCTCTGTCATAGGGAATAAAAGTTTGTGTTCTTTCTGAATCTCAGGTTTATTTTCATTAGCTTTATGTTAAAGACACACTATGAACAATCACTCAGTCCATCAATCTGAGCAGGCTCATAACGTTATGCAGATTTGATCCCTTATTATCCTAAACTGTCCATCTCTATTATATCCAATATTCCATTTGACTGATTTTTTCTATTTCACATCTAGGTCATCTTTTCCTTGTTCTTATTTTTTGAGCAAGCATTTTTCTCTCTTACTCAACATTTTACTTTCTATTACTCTTGTGTTCTTAAGGAAAACTTTAACTAGAAAAAATGCCTTAGATTTTCACCATTTCACTCAGTTTCTAAAATAGACAATTTCTCCAACATAACATTCCCCAGTTACCATTAGCTCTGACCAGAAGCATTCTACCATCATAGGTGCTTTCATAGATTCCGCCAGGCTTAAAAAAGCATTAGCATATGCCAGATCCCATTTTATCCAAGGCCAGACTACCTTTAAATATTTAACTTTTTAAAGACGACATATTAAATGTATTATATTTTACTTCTGACTTCAACTGGGGTTCCCTAATCAAGCATATTCTGGCTGAAATACATTATACAATGTACAGCATGGGTGAATCATAAACTCATGAAACATTAGAGTAGAAAGACTTTCAAGATGATTTAGGATAACTCTCCCCTTAACTGGAGAATAAATTGGGGAACTGAAAGTTAAGCAACTTTCTGAATTACTACAATGATTCAGTGGTAAAAACTATGAAGAAGCCAAGCTCCCAAACTAAAAGTAAGTTGTATTCAGAGTGTTCATGCATGGAAGAATTACCTGGAGCCCAAAACCTATCTCCAACAGAAATAACAAAGATGATAAATAAACAGATCCACAAATATATATTTAAAGGGAATTCTTGCTACCTTCAAGGCTCTATTTGGGCACTTTACTTTTATTTTACTTCTAAGTGTATGCTCTTCTTTCTCTTGATACAGAAATGACACTAACATTACTCAGCTTTTCAGATGTAATCAGTTGTTTCTGGCCCACAAATGAAACAAAGAAAGTGAAAGAGCTTTCCATGCTAATTAAAAGAGAGCAAATAACATTATCGAAATTTAAACCGAAACGTTAAAATGTATACATGTAAGAAAGCAAACATCTGCATAGAAGAAAATAGTGTTAAAAATTAGGTTGGCCACCAGGTAATCTTATAAGCCTAGAAAATACGTGAATTAATAAGGGAATCATCTTGGCTATGTTTGAATAAAAATTTGTGAATACTGAAATATAAATTTCATATAATTCTTATGTTACATAAAATTATTATTAATTTTTTTCCAACCATGTAAAAATATAAAAACCACCTCAAAACCTAAAATGCAATTAAAAAAAAAAATATATATATATATATATAAACCATTATTAGCTCACAGACCATATAAAAACAAGTGGTGGGCTTGCCTTTGGCCTGTGGATTACATTTTGCCAATTTCTGGTCTAGGAAATAGCAGAAAAAAGGGAAGACAGGATGTAACTGCTTTAATAACTAGGGGACTATTTATTAATGCTCCTGCATTAAACCTAAATGGAAAAGTAGCAACACCACCCCCCCACATGTATGCATCAATATCAGTCTCGGCTTGAAAAAAAAAGGTGTATTTCACTGTCTTTAGCACAGAGACAGCTCTAGAAACATAATCATTGATTCATAGGTGAAAAATAATCTCATAAATAATGTATACTAATTATAATTTTAAACAGATAATTCACTTTGTAGAAGTATTCTAAAATTAGAGTATTAGATACATTATTCATTACCATTTTGTCCCTGAGTCGCTCTCCACGGATAAAAAAGTCAGCACAGCCATTCTCTTCCTGATGAGGGACTTTGAAGACAGTGACGCTGCTTAGTCCACTCCCTCCAAGCGGTAACCATCCACCACTTGAGTCATCTCGGGTCATCACCACAGCTCGCACTCGTGCATAACTATTACTAAAATAGATGCAAAGATCAGGAATTAGCTTTTCCATAAACAAAAAACAGCCAAGCCATCAGTTTTGTATGAGAAACCAAAGACCACATTAGTAAATACATGGTAACTAAGGTGTTTACTACTTCCATGAAAGTCCACAGAAAGTAATCTACTTGAAAGACGTCAAAAACCGCAAACATACTTTAAGGGTTATCCTTTATTTTGAAGACTAATCTCATTATAAAAGACTACAGAACTATTACTTCAATTCATCATTTCAGTAGTTCCAGCACATCTGATTGCCATGGAACAGCTGTGAAGGGTCCCAGAGACAAATACTGTCAAACTACACAAGCTACCATAAAACTTATCTATATATGCCCATTTGCTGCAATATTATAACCAGGACAAACTGCTCTATATCAGCACATTTAACTGTAGCAACTACAAGTTCCTAACAGTTCCAGAATATATTATAAATAAAATGCTGAAACAAACATGCTTAGTTTAGATGCTACATTTTTATTTTCTTCTACCAACTTGGAATCTCAATCACTTATACAAATCATACAAAGAAAAGTATTCTGCTTAAGTTACTTAAGTCTGTAGAAACTTTAAGAAATAAATTTCTGTTATTAGCTAACCAGTTTATAATATTTTTCTATAGCAGTCCAAATAGAATAAGACACATATATAATCAACAAGATAATCAAAATACCATTTTCATCACTCCAAAAACCCTCATGCCAAACACAGAGATTTTGCCAGTTTAAGGGCCTTCAAATAAGTGGAATCAGACAGAATTACTATTTGTACCCTTTTTGTCTGACTTCTTTCTCTCATTTTTTTTTTTTGGGGGGTGTATCAGAAGTTTCATTTTTTTTTTTAACTAAGTAGTCCTCTAATTGAATAAATATATCACAATTTATTCTTTCTTACATGGATAGGCATTTGGATTTTTCTAGTTGTTGCCAATTATGAATGTACATGTCTTTTTGTAGACATTTTTTCATATCTCAAATAATTACCTAGGAGTGGAATTAATGGGTCACAGAATAGGTACATGTTTACATATACAAAATACTATCTTCCAAAGTAGTTGCATTGTTACACATTCCCATCAATGGTGTTTGGTGTTTTCAATCTTAACTTTACTCATTTTATCGAGTATATGTAGGAATTCCACTGTGTTTTAAATTTCTAGTTCCGTAAAGACTCACAATGTTGAGCATCTTTCACGTGATTTTTGGCCATTTGTTTATCTTAAGTCTTTGAACATTTTTTATTACAATGTCTATATTACAGTTTTTATAAGTCTTTAAAAATATTTCTGGACACAAGCATTTTCTTTAGATAATATACTTTTAAAGTTGCACTGGGTTGTGGTTAAAAGTGAGAATTCTAGAGTCAAACTTCCACAAGTTGGACCTTGGCTTAGAAACTTACTATCTGTATGACCTTGAGAAAGTTACTAAACGTCTGTCCCCCAATCTCATCTATGAAATAACAGCACTCACTTACAATAAACGTAAACCACACCTGACACATAACAAACACTATGAGTATTACTTTTTATTATCATTATGACAACAAAGCACTGAAAACTGAAGACACTGCCATCCTGGTAATTCAAAGTCATATAGGATATGGCAAATAATTGAATTTTCATGAACAACCGTAATTATCTATTATTGGAGTCAAAATAATTCTTTATATAGAAACTCTAAAAGATTTTGGCTTTATAATTTACTCTTTTGTAAAAGCTTTTTATTATTTAGTTATTCATAGGTTCTGATTCTTATCTGGACCCCATTCTTGCCAATCTTCAATGCAGAGAAATAGTCATAGGATGTGTGGGTACATAAAGTCTGGGTTGATGTAGATATTAAATAGTGCTGAGATGGGCTAAAGCAAGCTTCCCCACTATAAACAAACACAGTATGCATCTTAAGAGGCAATGAGAGCAGACTATATAATAACCATATTTGTGGGCTAGCATCCATTCTAAAGCAAATTAAGAGAATCTTATAAGATGTTCCTTCTTCATTAAAAATTGAAACTGTAACTCAATTTCTAATCTCTGATCATATTTGAATAGTAATTTCAAATATATCCTTTCACACAAAGCAGGAGAATTAAACTACCAACTTTGTATATTTTGTGCTGCTTTAACAGAATATCACACTGGGTAACTGATAAAGAGAAATTTATTTCTCACAGTTCCAGAGGCTTGGAAGTCCAGAGGCTGGGAAGTCTAAGATCAAGGCACTAGTAGGTTCATTGTCTGGAAAGAGGTTAGTCTCCACCTCCAAGATGGTGCACCTTGAATGCTGTGACCTCTGGAGGGGAGGAATGCTATGTCCTTACATGGCAGATGGTGGACAGGCAAAAAGGGATGGGCACCCTCAGTTCTTCTGTTAGGATATTAATCCCTTCTTACTTTCATGATGGTAGATGCTAAACACCTCCAAAGGCTACACCTCCTAACACTGCTGCACTGCAGTTGAAGTTTCAACATGAATTTGTAGAGACAAAAACATTAAATCCATAGCAACTGCTAACGTAGAAATCCAGGTGAGAGGCAATATTGAATTGAACTAGGGTGATAACAATGGACAGGAAGAAGAATCGAGAGATTAGGGTATATTTTGGAGGCGGAGCCAAGAGGACCTGCTGATGAGATTGTAACTACAAAACGAGTGTTCCAAATCTAAAATTCTTAATAGCATCCATGAGATTCACTTCCTAAAATTTTCAGCTGGTATTTCAATAAAGTCAAAAGCAAAAGAAGGCGACCAAACATGAAGACAAATTTTGCCTCAGTTGTACTGAACCATGTAGTTTTGTTTGAAATGATAGTACTAATATTACATATGAACCAGAATAACTCTAAAGTTATACTTTATTGCACTTTGTGGGTAAATGTATATTATGGCAGCATTTTCAAATTTACATATTGGCAAAATATTTCTTAACAATCAAATTATGAGTATAGTTGCAGAAATTTTTTAAGCCCTAGTAGTTTTAACTATCTGAAATGCAAAATGTCCTTCACCTATAATAACCTGCCTTTTTAGTTTCTTTTCTCCTTTACAGAACTATCTTGCTTTAAGATTAGCAAGCCTGTTATATACCCCATCCAACTGTTAGACAAGTAGAAGGCTCAAGCAAGACAGTTTGGAGATCTGAGATTTTATCATGTTTTCTCCTTGTTTTATGTGTCCATTAGAAGGAAAAACCAAGCTTAAAACAGTTAAAAGAGTTTGATAGTCAAGCTGTTTAGAGAACACAAAGACTCTAATCATACATTGGGACATTTCCCAGAAGACAGAATATGTACACAGTTTTGATACTGATTCCCATTCTTCCCATTTCCTGGTCAAAACTGAAAGTTCCCAACTCTTCCTTTTCTCTCTATCAAGAAGCAAATAGTGAGCATAATATTGTAGCCTAGACTCATACATGCTAATGAATGAAATTTTTTGTTTTTTTTAACTCATCAGCTAACACATGTAAGAGTCTAGAGTACAATATTACACAAGTTTTTGTAATATTTTTACAAGCTTATAATACTTATATTAACCAGACGTCCAATTATGAGATAAAATAATTGTCCATGATGTTCACAAATTAAAATTCTATCTATCCCCTATCCCTCTTACTGTTATCAGTTAATACGTTAAACATAATATGTATTCAGCTTAATAAAAGGAAAACAAAGTTACCAAGCATTGTAGCACAATACTGGCTTCTATGAAATTCTAATTAATTTTACATTGGTTTCATTTTTTAAATACAATCATGTGTTACATAATAATGTTTCCGTCAACAACGGACCCCACATACAACAGTCCCATAAAATTACAATACGATATCTTTATTATATCTTTCCAATGTTTAGATATGTTTAGATACACAAATACTTACCATTGTGCTAAAACTGCCTAAAATTTTCAGAACACTAACATGCTATACAGCAAGCCTGTCCAACCTGTGGCCCAGGATGGCTTTGAATGTGACCCAAAACAAATTCCTAAATTTCTTAAAACATTATGAAATTTTTAAAAAATCTCATCAACTATCATTAGCATTAGTGTATTTTCCCATCTAGGTTTGTGCAGATACACTCCACAATGTTCTCACAATGATGAAATAACCCGACAATGTAATTCTTAGAACGTATACCTATTGCAAAAACACCTGACTGTTTTACTTAGCATACTTTTATTCTCCTGGAAGCACAATAATTTTATGATCTACTTGACAGAAGATGCTGTAACTCCACTTAACTGGCACTCAAATAATTAATGAGCAAGGAAATGTTATTTCTATTAATCTAAAATTCATAGAACCTATAAATCTTTAGCAAAGCAACTTTGCCCTTTATACCAAAGATTAATTTTGTGAACCTCCTGGAAAGAATTATGGATCCCCAAAACTGTAACCAAATGTTCTTTGCCACATAGGTATTTTCTTCAGGTGAGACAGTATATAGCTTTAATCACAACAGCATCCATGATCATCCTGGCCCACCAATTAGGAACCACTGCTATACAAACAAAATGACAAGTAGTACAGCTGTGGCTCTTCCTCATTATCAGTTTACTAAATTTGGATACACTTCTGTTAGTCTGCTGGCCCTTTATATTGTTTTGGATGACAGTTCTAAATCTTAATAGTTCTAAAATAAATTCTGTATTTTGTCTTTCTCCTCTCTATATACCTTCGTTTTCTATCATAATACATACCCAAGTGATACCTTGATATTAGCCCAGTAAGACCTATTTGGATTTCTGATCTCCATGCCAAATTACAATACAATACTAAATTTATGGTAATTTGCCAACAGCAGCAACAGGAAACTAATACAAAGGAGGGAACACCTTCTTGAAGATACAGTAATATATATACAGGAGAAAAAGGTAA